CCCCCCCCCCCCCCCCCACTGGATATTGTTGCTCCCTGATGGTTACTGTTTAATGCTACTTTTTCTCCTCTTTTCTTACCGTCTTTTGTCTCTTCCTTCTTTCTCCCCCCTCTTTCCTCTTCTTTTTCTACCCTATTCTTCCTTTCCACCTTTTCTTGAGCCGAGGGTCTATCGGAAACAGCCTCCCTACCTCTCCAGGTAGGGGTAAAGTCTGCGTACACACTACCCTTCCCAGACCCCACCCATGAGATTATACTGAGTATATTGTTGTTGTTAGTTAGTTACAGATACTAATCTTATTATGTGTATATACCGGCCATGCTTTCTTTTACATTAGGTGCATTGCTTCGATTTGAAGATTAAAATATAGCTTCGAACATAAAAATTGAAAGAAGGCAAGCCTAGAAGTGACTTTTGAGTTTCTCATCTAGTAAATATGAGACGGAACATATACCCAAAGATAGCAACTACAGAAAAATCAACGTTTTGGCGTGAAATGCAAGTTTGAATGAGTGCGATCAGGGAATTCATTCCAACGTCAATTCTGCCCTTTGTCCATAGAAAACCATGAATCTTAGGTTCCAATAAAATGAGCATTACATTGGAAAAAGTTTACCGAGAATATAGCATGACGGAAAGCCCTATATTTTTTACCATTCAAAAAAAAAGGGGAAGGGGGGGGGGGGGGGGGGGGGGGGGGGTGTGAAGAAGAAAAACGAAGCAGCAGCATGATGGAAAGCCCAAAAAGGGCATTGGTTACATTTTTGACAACCTAATGGTACTGTTGACAACCTAATTATGTGTATCCCTTGCCATCAGAATGAATATCAATTAACAAACTTTCTTCCCCCGGTTGAAAAAACTATACGAGGGCAGTATTACAAAATTACTAAAAATACAGCTCAGCCTAACTTCCTAATCTAAAAGGAGAAGTTTGAGTGACAAAAAGTGGTGAGTACTAAAACAATAAAACGATAAACGGAAGTGTAATGGATTTCGACGACTCCACTTTTATGGTTGAAAGACTCACCTCCACTTCTCCTGCAACTCTTTCCTCTCCGACCAAATCCACGTTACAAAGATCGCTATAACTAGGGCAACTATGGTAAGCAGAAGCAAAGCATAATTGAAATCCTCAGTAAGAGAGTCATACGTCTTTGAAGGGGCAAGCCGAGTGAAAAAGAGATCCACTCCATGAGCAAAGACAAGGGTGGTTGACTCTAGCTTTGCCGGTATAGTTATTATGCTTTTAAGGCCTTCCACTTTAAGAGCATGTGTAACATAAGCCTGCGAGAGCAACCATCAAATCAATATGATAACCAAGGGTTAATTGTCACCCATATGGAAAACAAGGCTCAGGTGATAATTTATGATATTCCTTTGTGCTTAACAGTTAGCTATTTTGAATTCTGCAAGTATGCAATTAGAAATTAGAATATCTTGAGGGCCAAATCAGCTTCCCTGACCAACATATGATGTAAGATAGGTATCTACTTGCCATGTCAAAGCTCAATCAAGTAGGATGCATTTCTTTGCCAACATCATAAAGGAGATAACTATTGTTTTGAACCCATATTCCTATTTTAAAAATTGTAAGACGCATGTATAAAACATTATCATGAAATAATTTAGAGATATGGAAAGAACAGCACAAGTTCTGAACAAAGACATGGAAGTGTGTCTCTCTATTTGATCAAAGAACTTTTTCGGCACATAAGATCTCCCATCTAAACTAGTCTTAGTATGAGAGCTTCACCAAGAACAAAGACATGCATAAAAATCTCTTTTGGATCAAAGAACTTCCATATTTTCAGCATATAAGATCTCCCATCTACACTATGACGACTTGTAAACATGTGATCCAATCTACCCTTAATCCTAGACAAAAAGCCAAGACAGGAGTAATTGTGTGACCCAATCTAACATTTCAAAATGGTAGCGAGAGCTTCACCAAGACCAAAGAAGTCCCAAGATCTACCGTGATAAAGATACCAGATGCCATTCAAATGATATGATTAATTCTCTCTGAAAAGAAACCAACTCTTACTAGACTCCTACACGTTCTTGATGTGCAATACAGTACTAAACATCAGTATTCCTAGTCTAGTGGTAGATTTAATATCAAATGCTTCAAAACACTTAATTCATATACTCTAGGTTATGATGCAAAAATGCTCATTTTTGCTCATAGCGCAGAACACTACTAACTAGGATTGTTATGATGACTAAGACCTCTTGTGACTATGGCGTTCAATCTATTAAAACTCATCCTCAATGTAAAGAACTATTTCTTTATTCTTTTTTCTTTTGATAACAAGGTAGGCAAATTTTAGCAATTAAGTACCAAGATGGTACAAATCAAAAGTATGTAAAGGACAGTCTCTTTGATCAACAATGCAATGTGTTTTTTCCTCTGCAGCAAGCTTAAAAAGGAAGCTCTCACCTGTGGCATGATTGGCAATGAGTCAGTAAGAGGTATAATCCCTTCCTCTTTTTCAGCTTGAGTAGGGTTTAAAGTTCGTCGAGGATCGAGAAAACGCTTATCAAGTGCTAAAACCTGCATTATACCAACATATAGAGCATAAGAAGTCTACGATAAAAGGAAGGAATGTCACAACCGTCCCTGAATAAATATAAAGAACGCATTTTCTTGCAATGGCACTCCTACCGGCTACCACAAAAGAGATACACGCTAAAAGTGTTTGGACAAGTGATTAGCAAATCTAACCTGATCACCAATTGTGCCAATAAGCAACTGCTTGGAAGTAATGCCTTTCGCTGTTGAGGTAACTGCTATTGTTTTCACAGTATGCGTAAAAAAGTAAGATTGAGACTTAGTCATCACTTCAGGACGCGAGTAGGAAGAGACAGGTGCACTAAGGTTATGCTTTCCAAGAACAAGCTTCAGGACATCTTTGTTGTCCTAAAATATTACAAAAATTCAAATATGGTAAACAAGAGCCACAGAGAACAAATGAAAAGAAGAAATCTGGTAGCAAAATGTACCGCGCGAGATTGATCGTAGATCTCAACAACAGACATTTCATATCTGTGTGCACGTAGGTTGAAGTAGTGATAGACAACCCAATTTTCACTAAAGACCTTCACAGAGAGAAGCGTGTCACAATACTTGGTAACTTATTAGTAGAAAGGAACATCAGATAGCTATTATTTTCTCAAATAAAAAATGAATTAGTACTACAAGGTTTGGGCCAAGGAAAACATACTGCATGTACAGGTCCCTGACAGCCATGATGAGACATGCGGTGCAGCACTCGGCCAGTTATTGTGTCAACAAGATAAACAAAAAGCCAGGAATCTTCAGGGATCACTGATCCAATGTCACCTATTGCTTTAGGTGTAACAGTCGCCAGAAATAGCACATTCTTAGATATATATTTATACAACACATCCTCTGCAACAACCTTAGCTTGTGTATGAACAACCTGAAAAGAACAAGACACAAAAAAGAAGATGATAAAATTACCATCTGCAGGTTCAGCAACACAAGCTTAAAAGAATGCATGGTAAGAAACTATACATAAGCTTCTGGGTCTTTCATAATACTTGTATGGTTCAACAATAACTATGCACGAAGAGGGACTCTGTAACCAGCTAAAAAGGGAAAAAGTATGAATCATATGTCAGTGTGTTTGAAGATATTTGCTGTTTTTGCAGGAGGGGTTTAGTAATTCGGACTTGAGTGAACTAGTCAGCTGTCAAAAGCGGACTCATTCATGTCATTCTTCATCTAACTGGGTGCTTATGTGCATTCAATTTACCAAGATCTAGTAAAAAGAGAAAACAGATTAAAAAGAGAACAGCAGAAAGGAATGTGGCTAAACTGGCAGCCTAAATCCCAAGTTTGGTTGAACACCAAAGCATTTTTTACTCTTCAGCTCCTATATTAGACAAGTGTTGCATCTGTCTGTGGCGTGTCCTCCATTGGTCTCTTCACTATACTACATCACATTCTCACTTTTAAGGCCATTAAATCATGTTTCAAGATTTATTTATTTTGCTTAAATGCTTCTTTAGAGAGTTGACATAAATTTAAGAGTTCAAATTTGTAGTCAATAATAAAAAAAAATATTTAATCTCTTGAGCTACCGCACAGCTAAAGGAGAAGAATTGGCTAAGAGAAGGCAGTGAATTTCTACAGTGGAAAGACAGCAAAGGAGTCTACTCAGTGAAATCTAGGTACATGGAAACTAATTTGAAAAATGACAGCTACTCCAAGAGATAACTTGAATTGTGTGGACAGCTATAACTGGAGCTTGTTCAGCCAGATACTTTGATGGAGTTAAAAGTTGATTCAAGCTACATATATTTGATAATTGAAGAGTTTATACTATAGGCTGCTAGATTGTATTACACTGATCAGTTTAGATGTAAGTCCAATCCAAAGGATAAAGGTCAAAGCAACATCTTTTACAGGTGAAAATAGGAACACAAAAGGTCCTTGGGGGATAAGTAGGGTCATATTATATACTCTCAAGGTATCCCTACCCACCAACTAAATAATAGGAAAACAATACCACACCTTATAGACAAATCTCCAGCCATAACTTAGTCATTAGCAGCCAAAAAATTTCAATTGACATTATTTTTCTGATAAGTGAGAAAGAAGATTAAATAAGAGACCTTGCTTAATTTTTTTTGCTTAAGTTGCAATGATCTTTTAAAGAAAGAAGCAAAAGATTACCTCACTCAATTTTCTGGTTGAAGTTGCAATGATCTTTTCCGAATCTGAGGGGAATATAACAGACCAAAGGTCACTGGATTCAAAACAATAGTCATCGGCTATCTCCGGTTTGCAGTTTTTCTTCACCACATGCCCCTTTAAGAGATTATTGTTTACGTCAACTGAATACCAGTATATATTTCCCAACTCCTTTTGGAAAATACCAACTGCTTCAAGAGTTCTAGGGTAAAGGTGTCCATACCCCTCTGCATCTATTATTAGATGTAAACGCTGCTCTGTTGAATCGGTAAATGGAAGAGGAATAATTTGTGTAATGGAATGAACAGGTGCAAAGTAATTAAGCTCCTCTCCTCTGTATGCATCAACAAAGGAGAGAATACCAGATGCATCTGAATTATGTCCACATGTACCAACTACAAGGACAGATGGGTTCTCATCTAATGCATGATGATGTGGCACCTGCCACGGATGTAACTTGAGGCCCCTTGGACTTTCACAAGTTTCTGATTTACGGAGAGCATTCAGTAGTCGAGACCAAACAATTCGACCATCTCCTGTGTGAAGTGCAAAAAGTTTCCCAGCTCGTGTAAGTACAATGAGTAGCTTCCTAAATCCATTGTGGTCTCGGGTCATCTTGCTTTTCTCAGCACTTTGTAACCTCATTCTCTGAACCACTGCTACATCATCAGGGGTTGCAAGCATTAAAGTCGCTTTTAGTTTCAGCAAATGTCCCTTCCAACAAAAGAGCACAGAAGTAAAACAAATAATCAGGTACTTAATAAAAAGAAAAAAAAATCATGTACTGAACAAAATAGAAAGATAAGAATACCAAAGTAATCATCAAATCAAACAACACAAGTTCACACTTCAATGGTTATGTTTTCTATCTCCACGACAAGCAAGCACACCAAAAAATTTATACTAGATATTATCACCTCAAGTAAACAGACTGATCAAATAAACTTTTCCCGAACTCAACTCATAACAAAATTATGTTTTTTTCCCAGAGAAAAATAATAAGGAGAACTGTGTAAATTACAAGATAGATTATAAGCTTGGGCAAATTCTGATTCTTCTGCGATATATTTAATCTTAAACCTTTTTACAGGCTTCATACCTTAAGCCATTCAAAGAGGCTGTGCTCCACTTTTGCAACAGAAACACCAGCCTTTTCTACGGGCAACTCTGAAGTTGTTACATCTATAATAGATGCAAGCCCATCTTCTCTATACCAGACAACTGCACCTTGTTGTAATAACAGCAATGAATGGTCTTCCATGACAATCAAAGCCCTAAATCCATAAGTTCGATCTGTTCGGATATAGTTGTTGATGAAGACCTTGTGCACAAGTCCCCTCGGTTGGTCGACTTCAACACTTTCCTTGAGAAAATGGGTCTTCCAATCATCACTAGACTTCACAGTGAGATGAACTTTACCACCATCTTGCTGAATCAGCCCAAAAGCGGTTTGGCCTTCAGCAAAAGACAAAGAATCACTTACGGCTTCAACATGAGGGACTGTGTCAACTACCTCCAGTGTGCCTTCATCTTTCACTTTCACAAATAACAAAGATCTATTGATTTTCACGGCAACCATTCCTGCAAGTTTGGAAGGTAATAATACTGCTACTCCTGAAAAACCCTGAAGAAGATCGGAAATATGGACCTCCTGAAATTTAATTTCTCCACCAACAAAGCTTATCGTGACTAAGATTGACCCAGAGGAATCAAGCGCCACTGCTTTGTCACTTGTAGATAATGACAAATCACCAGAAAATCCACCAGGAAATTCCGTGCTACTATGCTTCAGCAGTTCACCATTCCCAACATTGATTACATATGCTTCAAATTGGGACCTATCACCAACTCCTAATGCATATAACATGCCACTTTCTTCGGGATGAACCAAATGATGAACGTTGATGCTGCAGTTAAGAAACTACAGATTAGATGACCTTTTTCATAAATCTAGAGTCAAAAGAACAGTAAACTAGTCTAGTGAAGTTTCCAAACCCTTTCTGTGCTAAATCCTTCTTCCAGAGAATGTCACCGTCAATGCATGAAACAGCATGCAGGTAACCATTTCCATAAACCAGAATCACATTGTCCTTGTCAGCACCAAAATTTGCCTGAGCAAAGAAAATAAAAGATTTGTATATGGATCTTACTGACTTCTCAGCCTCTTACTCAACATGGCAATAACATTTTCTCCAAGCATCTTACGTGAAATTACTAAACTTAAATTCAACTATAAGTTGCAAAATGCAAAGGGTAGGATTTGGTTGCTAATACACATTTCACAAATATTTGGTTTTTTAACAAGAAAGGTCAGAACATTTTATTTGTAATAGGAATAAATAGTATATCAGAATTCCTTTTTTTTGGGGTAAGGTAAGGTATAATAGTATATCAGAATTCTTTGCACTTACTGGAGTCAACAACAATGATCTCGAGGGACTTGATCCAAGAAGGAATGACTCCCACACCATCTGGCCATCAGGAAGGTTCCATGCTCTTAAGATACTTCCTCCTGATGATAGCGTGACAACATCTGAAAAGAAATAAGAAGTCTGGTAGCTATTAGCACTCAAATCCTGTACCAAATAATATAATAATATTAAAACATTAGCTTTTATTGTGAACATTTCTTCCACCAACAGAATTAAGCTGCACGTCCTGTCCTCCAAAGACTAAGGTGCATCAAGCTAGGAAAAATTTCATAAGATACTAAATTAAAGTTTTAGGATGGATGACTCAAATCAAGTTAAAAATGAGCCCACCCTTCAAAAAGTAACTATAAAATAAATTACTGAAGGGAAAAAAATGACAATCCAATGCACTAAGATCCCTCTATGTGTGGGGTCCAGGGAAGAGCTGGCGCTGGAGGCTATTTTCACGGCTTTACCAGGTGTCTTCGAGGTCACACAACGACAATGTTTACCATAGCACTGAGGCTCCCCCTTCAAACTACTGATGGAAAAAGGAGAATATTTTCAATCTTTTCCAGTGAATCCAAGATATCAAGCCTGTGTTCCTTAAACTCGGAAAAGAGAACTGAACTATTCAGGCGAGATATCTACTAAAGAGAATTAGCCAGTGCCCAGTGGCAAAGATAATCTATGTGCTTCTTTCCTCGCAGCAGGGACGCTAACGAGATTAATGATGTTTACTTCTGTCTAGTAAAGTAACAGATATAGAGAGTCCAACCAACTTGAAATATTATAGATGTAATTCTTCTTCTAAGTTCTAACTTTATCTAAAGAAAAAGTCTTTGACATGGTCCATCATTAATAATTCAGAGGCATCATATTCCACTATCTTAAGTTGTTTTTTACCATTATCCCATCGAAAAATAAATATGGAGACAAACTAATACTAAGCTAGTCATTTTCTTTTTGTACAGTCCTAAATAAAACCACTTAGATTACCATATAAGAATAGCATATACTTGTCTATAAAACAAAATTAATTTTCCAATAACTAAAACAAGCAAGAGAAACCAAAAAAATACATTTTCCGAGGGTGATATCGATTTCATCAATGACATCATTGACTCCCAAAACCTGCCTCCAAACTGCAAAAAACAATACGCGATCGAACAAAATAAGCAACAATTTCAACTAATAAGCATTTAATTCAATAAAAATAATTATTTTTAAAAAGAAGCTCACAAATCTCGCCGTGACGAAGATCGAGGGCGGCGATTACATTCTCTTCAGTAGATACCACAACACGTTTTCTACCAGCCTTTTGTGTCTGGAACACTGTCTTTTTCACTTTTCCAATATACTGTTGATGCCTACACAATCACAAATTATGCAAATTACTTATCTAAGCATATAGTAATTGAATATTAGCAATTTTGTTTAAGTATAGTGATTGAAATTGCAAAATTTACCAGTCCATGAGGCCAACTTGATCTTCATAAAGAGCAAAAGTCGTGGACGAAACGAATAAGATGAGAAACAGAAGAAAAGCCCTAATCGCCATAGCTAATGGCGACTAGTTGTTGAATTCAAGCTGGAGAAGACAAGCTGGAGAAGAATAACAGATCTGCGATAAGTTTTGTGAAGTACTTGTGTTGTTTGCAGCTCGGGGGGNGCTATAACCTGTAAAATAAGAAATAGTTACGGTAAAGTACAACAACAAAGTATAATACCATTAGTGGGGTCGGGAGGTAGTGTGTACACAGACCTTACCCCTATCCAGATTATTTTCAAATAGACCTTCGACATCCTTCCCTCTAACAACTCCCCATCTTACTCTTGGGGTGACTCGAACTCACAACCTCTTGATTAGAAGTGGAGGTTGCTTACTATCAGAGCAACCCCTCTTGTCTAAGTTACGGTAAAATGTGTAATTAATTTTCACGGACAAGTTTAAGAGTAAAGGCACATGCTTTGAACAGGGTATGGATATTTGGTCAACTAATAATTACTCCCTCCGGTCCACAATAAGTGATCAATTTACTTTTTTATTTTGGTCCAAAATAAGTGTCCATTTATATAATCAAGAAAGAATTAAATTTGTTTTTACAAAATTACTCTTATATACATATCCTTAAGAAGTTTTCTTACTCCTCACATTAAATATTTAATTAAGGATAGTTTAGTCATACTAGGTATTTTTGTATAAAATTTAGTATTTTTTTAATGTGCGTGCCAAAAACAAATTGGTCACTTATTGTGGACCGGAGGGAGTACTAATTAATCATTACTCCCTCCGTTTCACAATAAGTGGCCAATTTGCTTTTAGCACGCCCATTAAAAAAATATTAAATGTTATACAAAAATACCTACTATAACTAAACTACCCCTAATTAAATATTTAATGTGAGGAGTAAGAAACTTTTTAGGGATATGTACAAAGGGGTTATTTTGTAAAAACAAATTGAATTCTTTCTTGATTACATAATTGGACACTTATTTTAAACCAAAATAAAAAAGATAAATTGGTCACGTATTATGAATCGGAGGGAGTATTTTTTTAGTAGTCACACTAAATATATATAATTCAACTATCGAAAAAAAATAAGTTACGCCCAAAATTAGATGCATAACCCCTTTTATGATAAAATCTTATACAAATGCTTATAAATTTTTTTTATAAATATTAATTTGTGTAGAACTTATACAATACATAGGAAGTTAGTGATTTTGAAATACTAATGATGTATCGAAACTAAGTAAAAATATATTGAAGTGAAACGATCAAAAGTAAATTAAAATTAAAAATGGAAATTCATATAAAGTCCTAGTTGGCAATCCTATAAAGGTCAAGCAGCCTAATAGCATATTTGATCAAGCTTTTAAAATTAGTTTATCTTGATAAGTCTTTTTCAAAAAGACAAAATTATATAATAATGCATTCCATAAGTTGACTTTGCACTATTTTAGCCCAGTTATAAGTTTGTAAATGTGTAACCAAATATCAATATCTTTTCAAAGATTCCTCATTACAATAAGGTGTCAAGACAGTATGAGTTAGATTTTAGAGATAGAGGAAGAGCAGGACTCAGAATCCAGAGCTCAGTTAAGAACTTTCAGCTGACAATGGAGAAGAACGGAAGGCAGACAATTCTACAACTTGGTAGAGTGGGGAAAGCTAAGTGTGTGATGGACTACAGGTATCCATTGACAGGTTATCAAGCGTTTTGCATATGTTTGGCTTCTATTGATTCAAAGCTGTGCTGCACGCTGTAGATGGAATTTCTGGAGCCTTTTGTTGTTCAACCTCTGAACAGCAAGTCATTTAATTGACTAAGTGTTACTGTTCTGCAATTTTTTCTCTAAGACATCACCTGAAGTGGAATATAGGAATGTTGTGAACGTGATAGAAGTATCATTATTCATTTACGGATTAGTTACCTTCTATAGCAAAAGTTGATACCTTATTTATTTTAAATAAACATTCTTTTAAAAAATTATATTCCATAGCTACCTTTTAATTTTTTATAGCCAAATATCTATTTATGGTCACCTCCTACCCTTAAGCCATAAAATAACAACAACAACATCCCAGTGAGATCCCACATGTGGGGTCTGGGGAGGGTAGTGCGTACGCAGACCTTACCCCTACTCCGGAGGAGTAGAGAGACTGTTTCCGGTAGACCCTCGGCACAAGACGGAAAGAGACAATGTAACAGTAACAGCAAAAGAATCCTAACATATAACACCAGCAACGCAATAACCAGAAAATAGAGAGCAAAGTATTAACACAAAACATCAACAAAGGCACAATACTACATACGCAAGGGAATAATATGTACACACAAGGCCGCTAGACATACTATAGCCTAACTTTCGACCCTAAAGAAGTATTAAGAACACAACTGGAGCCCCTAGCAGCCTAAAACAAGACATTATCACACTAGCCTCATGTCTCCTAACCTACAACCCCAGTGCTCGACCTCCACAACTTCCTATCAAGGGCTATGTCCTCGGAAATCTGCATCTGCACCATGTCCTGCTTGATCACCTCTCCCCAATATTTCTTAGGTCGCCCTCTACCTCTCCTCATACCCGTCAAGGCCAGCCGTTCACACCTCATCACCGGTGCATCCAGGCTTCTTTTCTTCACATGCCCGAATCATCTAAGCCTAGCTTCCCGCATCTTGTCTTCCATGGGAACCATGCCCACCTTCCCCCGAATATCGTCATTCCTAATCTTATCTAGCTTAGTGTGTCCGCACATCCATCTCAGCATCCTCATCTCTGCAACTTTCATCTTCTGGATATGGGAATTCTTTACTGGCCAACACTTTGCACCATACAACATGGTCGGTCTAACCACCGTTCTATAGAACTTTCCTTTAAGTTCCGAAGGCACCTTCCTGTCACACAGACCACCAGACGCTAGCCTCCATTTCATCCACCCCACTCATACATGGTGCATGACATTCTCGTCAATATCCTTATTCCCATGTATAATCGACCCCAGGAACTTGAAGCTCACTTTCTTGGGGATGACTTGTGAGTCAAGCCTCACGTCCATGTCTGCTTCACCGGGCACGCTGCTGAACTTGAACTCCACGTATTCAATCTTAGTCCTGCTCAGCCTGAAACCTTTAGACTCAAGGGTCTGTCACTAAACCTCCAACCTTCGTTAACACCGTTTCGCGTCTCATCAATCAGTACTATATCATCAGCGAATAACATACACCATGGCACATCCCCTTGGTATGGTGTGTCAGTGCGTCTATCGTCAGGGCAAATAAGAACGGGCTGATCGCAGATCCTTGGTGTAGCCCCATAACAACCGAAAATTGCTCCGAGTCGCCCCCTACTATCCTAACCCGAGTCTTAGCTCCATCATACATATCCTTAATCACCCTAATATAAGCCACCGGAACACCTTTCACCTCCAGACATCTCCAAAGAACTTTCCTAGGTACCTTATCATAAGCTTTCTCCAGGTCAATAAACACCATGTGCAAATCACTCCTCCTATCCCTGTACAGTTCCACCAACCTCCGAATAAGATGGATCGCTTCCGTAGTGGAATATCCAGGCATGAACCCAAACTGATTCTCGAATATCGACACCAGCCTCCTCAACCTCTCTTTCACTACCCTCTCCCACACTTTCATGGTATGACTCAATAGCTTGATGCCCTATAGTTGTTACAGTTCTGGATATCGCCTTTGTTCTTGTATAGTGGAATCATCGTACTCCACCTCCATTCCTCTGGCATCTTTTATTGGAATTTCATCTGGCCCTGTCGCTCTGCCCCTGCTCATCTTACGCATAGCCCCGACAACCTCCTCGACTCTAATGCGCCTTCAGTAGCTAAAATCTCGGTGACACTCGGAGTGCTCCAATTCCCCTAGCACAATGTCTCTCTTCCCTTCATTATTTAGCAGCTTATGGAAGTATGTCTGCCACCTCCGCTTAATTTGCGCGTCCTCTATTAACATTTGGCCTTCCTCTTCCTTGATGTACCTCACTTGGTCTAGATCCCGAGTCGTCTTCTCCCTTGCCTTGGCCAGCCGGAACAACTTCTTATCTCCGCCTTTTTCCCCTAATTCTTCGTATATGAGACCATATGCTGTACTCTTCGCTTCTGTGACCGCTAACTTCGCCACCTTTTTAGCTTCCTTATAACTTACTCTGTTCCTCTGCCTATCCTCCTCGTCCGTACTTTCCACTAACCATCAATACGCCGCTTTTTTTTCCTCCACCTTACCCTGGACCTCGACGTTCCACCACCAGTCACCGTTATGCCCGCTCGAGTAACCCTTCGAGACCCCTAGTACCTCTTGTGCCGCCTTCCTAATATTGTTCGTCGTCATCGTCCACATACCGCTAGCTTACCCACTACTTCTCCAGGCCCCCATAGCCAATAGCCTCCTCCCCAGCTCGTGAGCTTTCACCTTCGTCAAGGCACCCCACCTAATCCTCGGGCTACCCCAAACCACCCTCCTCTTCCTCCTTATTGGGATGCTGACGTCCACCACCAAGAGCCGATGTTGGGTTGCGAGTGACTCACTCGGGATAACCTTACAATCCTTGCACAACCATCTATCAAACTTCCTTAGGATCAGATAATCAATCTGAGTCTTAGCCAGCGTACTCTGAAAAGTAACCAAATGCTCCTCCCTCTTCGGGAACATAAAGTTCGCAATCACCAACTCAAAAGCCTTAGCGAAATCCAATAGAGAAGTTCCACCTCCATTCCTAACCCCAAAGCCACAACTGCCATTCACCTCGCCATAACTACTGGAAAACGCGCTGAATGCCCATTGAAATCCCCTCCTATAAATAACTTCTTCATGGGTGGAATACCACGCACCACTTCATCCAAACCCTCCTAAAAATACCTTTTAACCTCTTCATCCAAACCCGCTTGGGACGCGTATGCGTTAATGACATTTTGAGTGAGCCCTCCAAACACTAACTTAATAAACATTAATCTATCACTCACTCGCCTAACCTCAACCACCGACTCCCTAAGATCCCTGTCTACCAGAATACCCACTCCGTTCTTACCCTTCGAGCGTCCAGAGTACCACAGTTTAAACCCATCTACATTCCTCGCCTTCGATCCTTTCCACTTAGTCTCCTGAACACATGCTATAAACTAAGCTTTGTATTATTTTTCTCTCTCATATCCCCTCAAATTTATCCTATCCTCTACCTCATATCTCTCTATTTGCATTGACTTTCTGTTACACGCCCTAAAAGGCAGATGCAAAAAATGTATTCATCTGCGTATCTCCATAGGATGGTTTTTTGGGGATTGCGCTATATATTTGGCCATGACTGCATTACTGGTTCTTGAGAGCAGACTGAAGGAATGAAAAAGCATTGATGAAGCCAACACCATATTCTTTATGGTCAAGATGTGAGATCAGTTTTCCGGTGGGACTTGGTGTGATATGTAAACAATTGGGTGCTATTATATTCATATGTTTTTTAATGGTTGAAAATTATGTAGCTAATATTATTTTTTTATTGAACAAAGACGACAGAGTTCAGGGCTGAGCAACTTGAATTTTCTGTTAATATATTCAATGTATCTCGCTGTATTTCATTATCTTTATTTATCATTGTATTTCAATGTATCTCGTTGTATTCTATGTATTTTATTATATTCATTGTCTTTTTTTTATTGTATTTCAATGTATCCCGTTGTATTTTATGTGTTTCACTGTATTCACTGTCTCGCTATATTCCATGAATATATTCATATATTTTTTTTAATTAATATAATCTATGTATTCAGATGTATTATATAATTTCTCTGAAGATTGCTATGTTTTTTGAGTATTTTTTGGTTGAGAATATTTTTTATAACTAGAAATACAAAATTTGTGTGTTATAATTGAGTTTGTTGAGTTATATTAGAAGTCTATTATGTTAATTGATTCACTTTCCATTTAAACACAATGTAATCCCCTGTTTCACGCCGTGAATACAGTCGTATACAGTCGATACAATAATTTGTCCAGCTGTAATCCCATATTTTATGCCATGAATACAATCAAATACACTCGAATACAAAAATCTGTCTAGCTGTAATCTCCTAATTCACGCCTAGAAATGCTATTGTATTCATGAATACAATAGCTTAAATACATCGAATACATTTTAAAAAATCTAAAAACATAACTATAAGAAATAATATATGTCACACCTCCTTTTTCCTATACCCGAAAGGGTATAAGAGAGTTTTTTCCAATTTAAGTGACAATCGAAACATGATTATTTATTTAAGATTCAGAGTCGCCACTTGGATAGTTTATGGTGTCCCTAGTCACCAGTTTTAAATCCCGAATCGAGGAAAGATTGACTCTGTTTTACAGTCCGCGAACACAGAAATTCGGGTAAGGAATTCTGTTAACCCGGGAGAAGGTGTTAGACATTTTCGGGTTCCGCGGTTTTAGCACGGTCGCTCAACTATTATTATTGGCCTATTTATTTAATTTTAAAACATCTTTGAAACATATGTGCATTTTTATTCCTTTTAAACTGCTTTTAACAATTCAATTATTATACAACTAATTATTTGATTACACATTGCGAATCATGTCACGAGAACCGTACCCATGATCCACAATGTGTTTATTTATTTAACAAGATCGAATTTTGGCCGGGTCACATAAATGTACCCCCGAATTATAGAAATTAAAGCATCACAACTACGTTATGGGAACCGTACCCGTAGCTATGGCAATTATTCAATTAAACGCGCCTAAAGCAAACAACGAGAGTGCAAAGTATTTTCTAAACTAATTTTGTGTTTATGTAAGAGCCATATGTTATGGATTTTATTTGTGTACGGCGCACCTCAAATTATCTTAAAGAAAAGGTTGGTATATTTTTTTTGAAGGCAAACTAAAGATATTCCTACTTATATCTGATTTAAAAAACCAAGTATCACAACCACGTCACGGGAACCGTACCTGTAGTTGTAATAGTTTAAATACGTGCCTAAAGCAAACTACGAGATTCATTTTTTTATCCAAGTTATAAATATGAGGGCCATAGGTTATATGATTCAAATGTATGAATGGCACACCTCAAAATTAAATAAACTACAGATATTCTTATTAAAACTAATTTGAAATTAGGTGTCACAACTACGTCACGGGAACCGTACCCGTAGCTATGACAATTTATTACAGCGCGCCTAAAGCAAGCTATGATATTTATGAATTATTTTCTTACTTTGAGATAATTTCCAGCCATCAGTAGGATACTTCTTGATAAGCGCATATTCCATAAACCCCAAATATAGTTCAAGCCTTTTGCATCAACAGTATTCTCCTTCCTTAACAGTTATTTCAACGCAAAAGGAAAGATGTTCACAAAGTTGCATCAACACAGAAAAAGTGAGTTGGCCAATGGGGAGGAGGGTACGAAAAGGAGGACTTATCAGATAGAAAAGAAAATAAAGTTAACATTGAATTGTACAAGCAGCCTACAAGAAACAGAAATAATATTTGTGAATATAAGCCCTGCACATGCCCTTCACTTCCTAAGTTTCAACCAAGTTCCAAAATTAAGTATAATTTGAAAAATAAGGAGAAACATATAACTCATTAAGTATACAGACCAGCTAAAAACTCATTCAAAATTTCAACATATTCGCAGCTATCATAAATTTAGCGATACAACATGAACTCTTCACAATCACCAATGGATGCACCAGTTATTGAATTCCAACTAACAGTAGTAAGTTTAAACGAGCCTCTGTCTAACTTATCGACGACCAAATGAAACAGAACTCAAAGGGAGATCACAGAACATCTATCGCAGCCATGAATGAACTCATTAACAGCTTACACATCCAAGACAAACGATCAGAATGGAAAGCTCTTCTCAAAGTTCATAGAAATGAGGTAGTTCAAACCTGGGCATTCCTTGTCCACCACATCCCAAAGAAACATGTGAAAGTTATCAAGCAGTTTGTAACACAAGAAAATGAGCGTGATTTCTAAAGGATGAAGCTAGCTAATTGTTGTTGTCGACCAATTAACAAAGCAGAATAGGACACACGATCATGTTGCCAATTAACTATGATTTCTAAGCTTAAGATATGCACCCCAAACCTTTACAATCTCAAAGGAGAAAGAAAACAGAATGCCAAAGAACTAGTGACAAAAGCAGCAAATTTACCATTCCTAAACATGAAGGTCACAGTGCAGAGTTTGGCTCCCTCAAACTGTACAATAACTCCCTAGCTAGTACAGAACTTCTAGCGCAGCTAATGCTACCACAACAGATGCAAAACTATAACTCAAGCTAGCATAAATCACAACTGAAACTAATCAGAAATGCAGCAAACTGGACAGAAACATGTACAAGTTAAAGGAATTGAACTTGCAAAATTTCCATAATACACTTTAGGTCACAGCCCATCGAATCAACTTCATACAATTCTCAGTCAACAACACTCCAAATCAGTCCCCATTTGAATTCATATTTCCATAAAAAAACCTAACCACTCAAACAACTATGTTCAAACTCAGAAAATCAACTTAAAGCTCAACCAAGCTTCCCAAAATTGTCAATGATGTTAATTTCTTCTTCTTAGGTATCCAGAAATTGATTCATACAAACAAAACATTGCAGCTCCCACGAAATAGAAAAATAAAAGAGTTTGGAGATGAACCTGAAAATGAATTGTCGATTAATGTTATTTAATGATTACAACGATTCTCAGAGGAAGCGAGTCCAAACAGAAATTACACGAACTCACGAACTAGCAGCTAAACGAACAGCGTTGGAGAAGCTCAAAACCAACAGCACTCAGTCGAATTCCCTTAACTCAAAATGAAATCCAGAAAACGAACTCAGCCTTCGAGCTCAATCCAAACTCATCATGAAAGTGAAAATTTCTGAACTTCAAGATGAAGAGAACAAAGGGGCTAAGATTAAACAAAATGAAAACGATTTTTTTTTTGTATTTTTCTATTGTAACTGGAATTAAACCAAGATGGTTTCAGATGAATAAAATAGAAAAGAGGCTTTCTTAGAACCCTAATTTCCAAGTGACCTCTGCTTCTCCCAAAAATTCCTTAGAATCTCCCCCTTTACAAAATCGGATCCGACCCTTTTTGAAAATGAGCACATGATGAATGTGGGGCTCAGATTGAATGAAATCAATCCAACTCCTCACACTCATCCAACGATCGTCCTCCAGAACCTTCCAATTGAATGATATAGCTCAAAATCGGGCG